GATCGGCCCGCGGCGGCACAACACACGCGCACCGCCGGGCGTGGGGACACGCCGGGACGGCTCCCCTCCACTGGGTCACTGAGGTGTGCGGACCGCCCCGTGGCGAAGGGTCTAATGGATGGAGAGACTAGAATAAAGAACGGCTTTCAGAGTATCCATCACAGTCTGTGCATCGTTGGCGGGAAGTTTGAAAAGGCATTAAATGACAGCCAAGTTTCTGGGCATGCGGCTCGACGGAAGTGTGCTGTGATATTGGTCGACTTTGCGGCACTTTTCAGGCGTCTCCAGAGTTCCTTAACTTTCTTAGGCTTTCTGGGAAGCTGTAAGTAAGCCGGATGCTTATGGTCAGTGGTGCTGACTGAGCCAATATGAGGTGTCGGCAAAAACTGGCGTTTGTTTGCGCCGACTGGTTATTGGCCGGAGTGTTGGCCTGGCGACTGGCGACTGGCTGTCTGGCGAGCTAAGACCCTACAGTCCGTCACTGTGTCAAACTAATCCCGCTTCACGACAGAGGGCACTTGAGCGACGACAGGCATGGTAACGCTGAATCAGCAGTCAGGCGATCTAAGGTCATGAATGTCTGCGGTACTGAGAGTCTGATGGAATTTAGAACGCGGCTTTGATGTTAGCTGATAGCTCTTGATGATGTTTTAATTAGGTAGGCATTTCACTGATCAATTTAATAGCAATTGAGCGCGCTCTGCGCCCGGCGTCCACTACCATCGCTCGCGTTGTTCACCTGGCATATAGGTTGTACCGCCGGACGCCACAGCCCGGCGGGTCAGCCTACCCTTCAGTGAGTCTGTCGACAAGGTATCAGCTCCAGCACGCAAACGCGATGAAATGGATTGTTGCTTGGTTAAAACTTAAAAATGATTGCCCGGTAGCTGTTTTTGAGGTTGCCGCTTTGAAATATATAAGTTTATCCAACCAACCGCCACTCAGTATTTTGAGCCAGCCGAGAACTGCCAAAGATGTTATGTGTAGTTTCACCACATCAATACCGTGTTACCAGTCAGGTTACGACCATTAAACTGAATTTGTGTCTTCACACACCAAAGCACATCAAAGTGGGGTTGTGGGCGTCCGAACTACATCGATTATCGGTGCCTCGTCACGCCTAAATATCTCCACAGTTATTGACCCGCTGCCACTGGAGCTTCCCTCGCCTGCCACACTGCCAGATCTGACCACGTTTCTGCCCTGCTCCCTCAGAGTGCGAGTTCTGCGGCCGGGGCGCGTTCAGCGACGGTACTGCCCGCTGTCAGGCGTGCCCTCCCAACACGGCACCCGACTACGGCTACCACCTGACATCGTGGAGCTCACTGCCGCCAGACGTCACAGCCACCTGCATGAGCTTCGACAGTACGGACCGGGGAGGGACGGTGGCCGGGTATCTGGGATGGTGGTCGCATGTTTCAGGATTAATTCAAGCCTGGTCTATGTAGCAGGTAGCTGTTTCTTGCAAAGAAGCCGATGGGGTATTTTGGTTTTTGATTCCATTATACAGATTACAAACCATCAAGGAATTTTTGTATTTTAACTTCTGTTAGTCAGTCACTAATAAATAGGTACAGCTTGTTTTTATCTGCTCAGGTGTTGCATTCCGTCTTGAGAGTCCGTGCATGGAGGATGGGGAGCCTCCGCAGTCCCATGTGAAGTGTTTCTATTCTAACCCGCCTCCCCGCGCGGGCAGATGTGGGCTGCAGCAGCAGCAAGAGCTGGCAGGCGGCCGGCGACCACGTGCACTCGGGCCGCGGCCAGGCGGACGGCGTGTACCTGGTTTTGTCGCTGGTGGTGGCTGGGTTCCGCTCGGCCGGCGGCGTGCAGAACGGCGCCGCCAGGCAGGTCGGAGACGTCAGCTTCAGCTTCGAGGTCGACTGCAAGAGGGACTGCGAGTTCGCCTTCATGCAGGTGAGCCTGTGAACGGGGAGAAGTATGGAGTCAGCTGCTGGAGTGCTGACCACGATCTACATCAGACTATCTTTACCACGACCTTCGAAGTGCAATCATCGGGGAATACAGTAATATATTTCTACGAATGAAGCTGATGATTAAACGTACGGAATAAGACAAAAGCAGCATCTATTTCTGCATCAAGGGGAATATTCTTAACTTATATTTATGCACGACTTCAGCCAGTAATTTCCACATGAAAAACGTACAATTAAGGTCCATTATTTCATTCAACGTCATTTGTCACACGCCTGTTATCAGTTCACGTTTGGTATCGCGACAGCCAGCGTATATTTTTCACAGGTTTATGCTCGGTTTTAGTCTGTGACGTTTGGACAACAGACAGCCCCGATCCGGTGACCTTTGACTCTGAATGTCAGCAGTTTAGTATGCGGCCATGGCCCGTATGACGCGCGGCAGCCGGCACCATCCAGTCGCCGCGGCGCCAAACAGCACGTCATTGTTATTGTAGGTCAGCAGGCTCGTTACCATGACTCCCCACCGAAAGAGGGGGCTGACAGCCAGCACATCGCCCAGTGTACCGCTGCGTCCCCTTCCCTCCCTGTCACACACATACACTACACTTACATGCTATACGGCCCCAGTTATGGAGAATAGCAAACGTACTGCTAGCCTCTGTGGTCCCGCCGACTTAACCACTTTTGATGTTGGGAAGGGGATATTGGCAGCGTCGAGTTTCAACGGCCACCATCGCTCTGGTTATCATTCCCTGCGGCGTTGGTGAACTCCCCAGTGTCCACTAGCCTGTTGTCCAGTGTTTGGCGGCCAGGTACTGAAGTGTGTGCCCGTCGACATTATTGGTCGCCGGCGGCGTACCCCCCCCCCCCCCCATGAGATTGCAGTGAACCGATAGCCCCGTCCCCTCCGGCGTGTGAGCCGTCCGTCCACAGTGCAGGTATTATTGGTTTAGAGCCATAATGGCGGCCACAGTCAGCGCCAATGTTAGTTGGCTTGGCTAGCGATATTGCGTTATTGAGCTATAAGTGCAACAGTATATCTGTCCTCTTCAATTGGCGTTAATTGATGCTCAAGGGAATTAATAATGCTTACGTTGGTGAAGCGTGTGACGGTGCATCTGTTACAAGGCACATATTATCTACTTAACCACCTTTTCCCGCACCTCCCAGTCGACTGAGGACACGCAGCTGTCGGTGGTGAAGTCATGGACGGGCCGTCAGGAGCGGCAGCGGTTCACCTACCCCATCACCCACAACACGAGCTACACGTTCAGCTGGGTGTTCCAGAAGATGGGCTGGGACGAGGCGATGACCGTGCTGTCCAGCAGCCGGCTGTATGACCGCGACATGGTGCGCATCTACAGCATCAACGTGACCAACACCATCGACGGCGGCGCCGCCTCCTGCCTGCCCTGCCCACAGGTCAGTGGAAAAACGGACTGGTGCTTGCGGAATCTCAACCACGTTTGCTAGTTCTTATTATGTGAATAACTGGTGTAAGCCATTTGGGTTTTACCAGCGCCCGAGCTATGGATTCGACAAAGGAATAGAAGAGTGGTTAAGGCAGAATTTCGGGCGGGTTGTAATACTTTGCTGCCTTTTAGTGCCATATGGACAGCTTACGTCTGCCCTGTCTGCCTGTCCTGACACCCCCGTCCCTTTACCGTGTTTCAGGGCACCAAGGACCAGTCGTGCGTGCCGTGTCCGCCGGGCCACTACGTGGAGGCGGCCGGCGGCGGCTCGCGGTGTGTCCGCTGTCCGCCGGACACCGTGGTGATGGGGCCGCTGAGCTACGGGCGCGACTCGTGCCAGCCCTGCGGACCGGGCCTCTCCAGCTCCGACGGAGAGCGCTGCACCACCAGCTGCAAGGCCAACGTCAGCAGCCGCGTGTTCGACTTCTCCAGACTCAACAAGTGAGGCGACGGCCAGAGCTAGTGCAGTCATGGTCGTCATGGAAGTCGTTAGTTGTTACACAGTTTGAAAGTGAGTGACAGCAGTCATGCTTCAGGACGTAATTTGAGGTGTAATTAAGGAGCAGGTTTAAAATATTCATAAGAATGGAGCGGCACATATTGTGGTAGCTGACTTTGTGACGAGTTCTAACGACCATGTCCACTTCATCGGCAGACCGTTCCCGATAGAGGGCAGCACGCTGTTCACGGCGTCAGGCACCCAGTACTTCCACCTGTTCAACATGAGCCTCTGCGGCGGTGCGCAGGCCACCTGCAAGAACAACGTCTCCTACCACGACGACGGCGTCGACCGCGCTGTGGTTGTAAGTACGGGATATTTTGAGGCATGATACTTTGGCCGATCTGCGTACTCGTCATGAATTCAGCAAATCACACAGCAAAATGCATCTGTTATATGCGGTGTGATCGAAGCGGTAACAGTCGGCCGTAATGGAACATAACGCTCGAATACACGCGTTAAACTCGCACATCTGGCCTTCGCCTTACTGCGCAAATGGTTTCACAGCTGGATGTCACTGCCCAAACCAGCCTTATCCCAACGCCGCGCCGGACTATCATTGGTGTCGCAGTGCCGGCTCGCACTCCCGTAACACCCGGCGCCTGTTCGTACGCGGCAGGCGGAGTCGTTCCTGTGCCGCAGCACGGTGGTGCCGGCTCACGGCGAGGACGGCTCGCGCCAGTCGTACTCTGTCCAGTCGGTCAGTCTGGCCGACCATCTACTGGGTGTCACCGAAGAGCTTCAACTGGGCGACGCAGAGGTCTACCCAGAGTTCAGGCCCAAAAGCACAGACTCGCTCGACCTACATCTCTTCTTCACGTCGCCATTGTGAGTAGAATGTCTCTTTGGCTGGGAGAAATAGTGCCTAGGGTGTTTCGAGGTCGGAAGAATATGGCTAGTATAGACTGTAAATATGTATGTAACTGTTCAAAGTTTATGCTGTCGAGCCTTAGTATGCTCAGTACTCACCTTAGCGCCTTCTGCACCCCGTCAGCTCGACCCGGGCGTGTCCCAATGGCCGATCGGCCACGGTGACGGTGCGGTACAACCCAGAGCGGCCCGGCAACGGCACCGTGCTGCTGCCGTCGCGCTGTCCGGACGGCACCTGTGACGGCTGCATCTTCCACTTCCTCTGGGAGACGGCGCTCGCCGGACCCGCCTGCCTGGAGACAGACTACGTGTGAGTCGGCGGTGATGGTTATATAACTTGGGGGACTTCAGAGTGACTGTTCTAATGCATGGTGTTGTTAAATTTTGTACTGAGTGAGACCATACCGTGACCGGCAGTGTGGTGAAAGGAGAATGCGAGGGCGGGCAGCAGGAGCTGCACTACCTGCCACCAAAGAACTGCATCGCGCCACAGACCCTGTCCGAACAGACCAGGAAGGTCGCCTGCAAGACCCACTTGCCTTTCACCATACAGGTACGGGGCAAATTATAGGCAATTTTGGTTACGGGTGAGTCGCATGGCCACAAGTTCCCTATCAATGTTGGTGATATCTCTCCTGGCATCAGGCATAGTGACAGACTGTGCTGTTCACCAAAATGTGACAAACTGGCGGGCGGCTGTACTACACCAAAGGCATTTACGACGTAACACGACCATCAGTAGCTCTTACCCACCGATTCCGTTCTTTTCCAGGTGACAATAGTGGGAGCAGTGTCGTTCGCGCTGTGCTTCTTCCTCTTGCTCTGCCACTTCTACAAGAAGAACCAGAACCTCGAGTATAAATATATGAAGCTCGTCAAGTCGGCCGGGAGCAAGTGAGTATTTTATTCCTGATCAATCACAGTTATGTGGCTAGGTTAGATCGGTGCTTTGACTAGCCTCCGCCAAGGAGGCACTGAACTTATTCAGTTGCCTCCCTCTGCCCTCGGGACACGGACGCTAACGTGCCGCCCTCTGCGCCCAGGGACCAGGACGGTAACATGGTGCTGCCCTCTGCCGAGTCGTGTGCGCTGGACGAGGGTGAGGAGGACGACGTCCAGATCCACCAGGGACGCACCACCTCCGGCGGCCTCTTCAGCCGCATCAAACATCTCGCCAACGACAAGGTGAGACAGCGAGCTGGCTAGTCTTGGCTACCAATTTCAGCATGCGTGACAACCAAGTCATTGGGCGACATCTGAGCCGCTGGGTCCAGATGTTCACCTTAACTGTCCTCAACTACCTCTGTTTTCAAGTACGATCGACAATAAACATACAAAACGAAATTACGTTGAGCCACTAATTATGCTGACGTTACGCTGACAACCGCCAGTTCCCACGTTCTTCGGACCGCCCACCAGCGGGTTACTCTGTCCACTGACTGGCCCGCCCTCCGTTCTCAGGTGAGGAACCCGCTGGAAGTGATGCAGCTGGCAGAGCATCAGCCGCTCACCTAAGCACTGCCCACGCGCCAGGCATGGACTAGGACACCACCATCGCATAGTGGTGGGCGTTGACCGTAATACCGAGCAGCTATAGTTGGCGGTACGCCTCAAAGAGAGAAGAATACGACTAGCTGTGACGGACTACTATAGGAAACGGCCCCTAGTCCGAGTGCAGCTTCCTCGAGAAGTTTCATCCACAGGTTTTCGATGACAACTAACCGATGCTTGAGCGACATGGTCAAGTTGGCGCCACGAAAGCGCCAAACAACGGCCACCGGCGCCGCAGTTTTGCGATCCCGCGGGCTTCACGGACACTTCAGCCCCATCATTTGTGTGGCTCATTCGGAAATCGGCCCTTCAGTGCAGGGGGAAATCCCGCCGCACAAAGTACATTGAGTGGGTTATTTTGGCGCATGAGACTGACTTCGAACTGTGGAAAGTTGGTGAGCATGTAGTCAAACCGACTCTTCCCAGAGTGGTCATGATTGTCAGTTCGGAATTTCAGAGACGGCGATTTGATGTTGGACGTCGGCCGCGAGCCGGAGTCTCAGCGGGTACGTTACCCGAGTTACACGGACAACAGGGTGGCGGTCGGTCGTATCAGTGTCACAGCAGACACAACTCGGTGTGGTGTGCGCTTCTCGGTCGTTGTTCTTCAGTGACACGCGGTATATCCGGACAGAGGCCGACAGCGGGTGATAGGCGTCTGGCCTGGCCGGTAACTTGTCACCGCGTGTCGTGCGCGGGAACTTTGTGAGTGGATGTGTGCAATGTATGTGCTTGGTGTTGGTCTGAGGATCATGCTGTCGCATTATGTAACCTGCTATGAGGGCAGGAACCTACCGAAGAAACGCACCGATCGACTCCGGGAACTGCTTATGCATGTCAGACCGTGGAGCTGAATGTAATTCTCTATTTGAACGGTGTGCGTGTATGTATACTGTATGCATACTGTGTACTCTGTATGTATTAGAAGTCGCGGAGAGCATATTTTGCCAACTTGCACGGTGGTGCATTTTGAACCCTAAATGTGATTTGTACTGCGTGCTTTTAGTTTTCCCTAAAGGTGTGTTGGTAGACTGAGTCAAAATTGCTTAGTCAAAGATCAATCGTGTATCCATTGATCCCAACGACTGTGATGCAGGGTGTCTGACATATAAATACATAAAAGGATGTTCTATGTTGAACGTTACTCCATGACAGGCTACCTATCTATATCTTTGAAAATAAAAATCTGTTAGGAATTAATCTTTTGGGACTAGATGCCATGAAGGGCATTCTGAATCATATCAAAGGCATGACAAAGAGCATCTTACTAGCATCATGCAGCATTCGTTCAAACGCATGTTCACACAGAAAAATACCGTTTCTTGTCAGTTGCATACCGGTATGATGTGATCATCAAACACGACACTCACCTGGTCCTGGTGGCATTGGTGTGACAGCAGCTGGGCTCCTCCGGTCCAGGTAGTCAGAACTGATCAGCGATTTGGTCAGAAACCGTGACTAGTCTCCCGCGATCAGTGTAAGTCTCTCACACAGTCTATCACAGTGCCTCCACAGACTCCAGTTCATCCACGGGGTCCTTCAGTTGGAACCGGGGCAGCTGGGTGGTGATTCTCACGCAGTCGGACCGGTTAACGTCCCCTCTCTGGAGGAGTACGGCGCGCAGCTTCCGTCTGACACGGCCGGAGGGGTCACACTCGGCAGCCCTCGATAGCAGCGCGGTGTGGGGACCGCTGCTGTACTCTCCGTCCTCTCCCGCGGTGGTCAGCCGGTCACAAGCAGCCTCCACTGCCGTCACCAGCCCTGGCCGGGCCAGCAGAGTCCGCAGCTCCGGCTCAGACAGCCGCTCCATCCATCCGACGTCCTCCACAGCCGCCAGCTGCCGCTCCAGCGCGCCGTCTACAGCGGCTAGCACCGCTCCTCCGTCAGTGGGGGCAGCCTTCAGCGCCAGGGCCGCCATCCGCGCCCCGTCCGGACCGGTGACCAGTTCGGTGGCCTTCTCAGTCAGCCAGTGGGCCGGCCGGCCAGCCATCGCGCCCTCCAGCAGGTAGCGCCGGAACGCCAGCGCCTGCATCCGGCGGCGGCCGCCGGCGCGCCGCAGCGCCGCTGTCAGCGCGCAGTACGCCTGCTTCTGAGCCGCCTGCCCAGCGAGCACAGAGTCCAGCTGGCCAGCGCGCCGCAGTTCGGCCAGCGCCCGGCGCAGCGCGGCGTCCCCCGCACGGCCGTTCTGCAGCAGCCGAGACAGCAGCTCGCGGCGCGACCGCCGCAGCAGCGCCACGTTCAGGTCACACCGGGCCCCGCCGGCCGCTGTGGTCACAAACCGGCGCAGCACCGGCTCAGCGGGTGTGCCGTCAGCAGCAGCTGTGGCCTGCTCGCAGTAGTCAGCCCATCGGAGCGCTGCACCAAGGTCCGGCTCTGTCCAGGGCGCGCCGGCCTCGGCCCGTGGCAGCAGGTGCAGCAGGAAGTATCGAATGTTGTCCAACACTGCGCGGCTCCCCATTGCTAGCCTGAAAGCATATCGACAGATGTTAACAGATGTAAAGAGATGTAATTGTAGCATTTGTATGGAGAAGTGACTAGATGCAAAATCATTTGTTTCCAGATGCTTATGAAAATGGCCTAGCAGTGGGTGCATCCGTCCATGCAAGCGTTAAATCATGACTTATAAATACTGGCAAAATTGAATGAAATTGGACAACAATGAACAAACAGTTACTTCATTTTACAATTATGTTTGCAAACACTCAAACCATAAGTTTGTTGCCTTCCAGCTTCAAAATGTCATTTGTAGCAAAAGAATACAATTGATTTTTACATTGTTGATTGAGTCAATTCAAATTCTTTAGACCCTCGACCAAGGACATATAAACCACCTCCTCCTATGAACCTTACATATTCCTATGAACCTTGGCGATACTTCAGTTTTTTACATTGAGGTAGCACAATTTTGATGATGCTTCACTGTTTCTCCTTGGTCAATTACATAAAAAACAGCTTCAAAACACTTTGATTCGCAACATTTACCGAAATATAATAAAGAAACCACCCTATCGTCAGCACGCTACGTCTGCCACGACGCAAAATGGCGACGCTGTTTTGCCTCTGATGCGCCAGATATGTAACCTTAAGTAATTGGATATGACTACTAAATACAATATGCCGATAATAGACTATTTTCCTCCTAGGGGACACTGGGAAATCGGGGTTTTCGGGTGAAGGTGATTGAGAAACGTGTTTGCTAGCGACGCGAACCAATGATGTGGCCTTGGCCACAAATAGGGGATATCTTAGGTAAGGGTAAATGGAAAAATGTTAGGTTAAAGAGTTCTGGAATTGTCTCCAGGCCGGCCGAAGGCCGGCCTGGAGCCTATTCCAGAACTCTTTAACCTAACATTTTTCCATTTACCCTTACCTAAGATATACTCCTTTTCGTCCCTAGCGCACAAACCCCTGGAAACGTGGTAGGTTAGGTTAGGTTAGGTTAGGTTAGGTTAGGTTAGGTTAGGTTAGGTTAGGTTAGGTTAGGTTAGGTTAGGTTAGGTTAGGTAAGGTTAGGTTAGGTTAGGTTAGGTTAGGTTAGGTTAGGTTAGGTTAGGTTAGGTTAGATTTGGTTTGAATCTAACCCCCCCTCCCCCACCCAAAAACCCCGATTTCCCAGTGTCCCCTAGGATGAAAATAGTTCTTGTTTCAGGATATTGTATTTAGTAGTCGCATCCAATTCTTTTAAATTACATATCTGGCGCATCAGAGGCAAAACAATGTCGCCATTTTGCGTCTCTGCCACTGAACTCTATAATGTGGAATGCGCATCGGCCACCAGATGGTGTCCAACGGTGCCGCCATGTTGCGCAGACCAGGAAGCGGCCGCCGCCTGTGTTGGGGAATAGGGAATTCGGGACCTCGATTTACGTTTGCGGTCGCTGCATCCGTTACGTTCAAGCTATGTGGACACGGAACCCGGCATCTTACGCAGAATTGAGTGGAGAATAAGATGAAATCCTAAAAACTTCTCAGATACAAGGAACTAATACGTTAAGCCCTTATAAGTGAATGGGGAAATATGAAAATTGCTATTTTGGCGCCGAGAATGATCTGAAACTATCTCAAGCATATAAAATCATGATTTCATGCACTCCTTGCAAGGTTCTATGCTTCATATTTGCATTGTTGCCCTTGCGTGACGTCATTATCATCCGTCATATGTGACGTCACAAGGGTCACAGTTTTTCTTCAATAACTCCCGATCAAATTGAGCTAGCGAGTCGGGAAAGCCACCAATGGACTCAGGAAGACCTGCCGAATCGAATGATATGCGACATGACCTCTTTCGACCAACTTCGTGACCTGGGGGTGCTGACCTGACCTTGACCTGAGGTCAACACCCTAAGTTGACCTGACCCGAACAAAAAGTATATCACTCGATGCGCCTGAGCTAGCTGAACACGATGATGCCAAAATCGCGGCTCTACGGCCATTTTTGGCGAAGTTATTTACCAAAAACCGAACCCGTGCCTTAGATCACTTGACCTGACCTCAGAGGTCACCGGTTGACCCGGGACCTTTACAGTGGGTCCCTACCAGTCACTCTGCATTATTCTTTGTCGCAAACGACCAATTTACCGCTTAATTCTAGTTTAATTAGCGGCGCATTAGCGAGGTGGGTTCAATCAACCCCCTCGGCCGGGGCAAATCTAGGTCCGGCGAGTGAATTTGAGGAATTCTGAAGATACGATCGTGTTCCCCACTCAATTCTGCGTAAGATGCCGGGTTCCGTATCTACGTAACTTGAACGTAACGGATGCGGCGGCCGCAAACGTAAATCGAGGTCCCGAATTCCCTATTCCTCAACACAGGCGGCAGCTGTTTCTTGGTCTGCGCAATATGGCCGCCACCGTTAGACACTACGGCCAATAGGGTTCAAGCGGCATTGCTCCCCTGTGGTCTCTGCAGTGTGTGCGTAGCGCATCAAAGGTGGGGTGATTTCTTTATTATATTTCGGTAAGTGGTGCGAACTTAAGTGTTTTGAAACTGTTTTTGATGTAATTGGCCATCGAGAAGGAGAAACGATCATCAAAATTGTGTTTCTTTAATGTAAAAAACTGAAGTTTTACCTGAACCTTGCATCAACCTTGCAATTCTGTGCATTCAATGCACAGAATTTGAATTGCGGGCCAAACACTTACACAGCTCACAAAAATGCGGTTTTGATTTGAAAAAGCAGTGCCTAATTTTCAACGCGTTGTGCCTTGCACACTAGCTAGCGGTGCAATTTTTGGTCTTAGGTAGTAGAAGATAAAAAATAGCGAAATCCACAGGCAACAACATATATGGAAATAAGATGTTTTTTCGTATATAAGAACACAGCCCAAATAAACGCATTCCCCAGGGTATATAGAACAACATTCCCGTAGCACCACTGAACTCTATCGTAGCACTGATACTTTTTGAGAATATTTTCGTATGGTGAGCGCCATTCTCGTCATTCCTATTTTCTATTCAATTACCTGCTGCTAATGAAGGTAAGCATTAATTTGACAAGTGAACGCGCGCCATTTACTGTCCGCAAGCGTTGTATGGCTTTTTAGAACATTAACTATCACGCTGACATCTATATCGAAGTGGAAGAAAGCTGTGGTTGCTTATTTTTCCGCTAGAGTGGATTCAACATAGTTCAGCATCGTCAGCATCCAGGGAGGTTTTTGTTTTTTGCATGGTTTTTTGCTGCTTGCGAGCCGCGACAAATGGCCACAAGACACAAATCCTTGCATTTGGGCCCGGTTATCCATGGAGTTCGATCGCCTATGTTTTAGCAATGGGCTCTGAAAGCTTGAGGAACTGGGCACGGGCAGTGCGTCGGTGCGCGCGGTGGGCAGTGGCGGCAGTGGGCACCGGCGCAAGACTCATACAGCACCAGCAGAGCCAAGGGCGGAGCGAAGGTGCGTACCGTTTTAGTTTACTTGGCATATAGTTAGGGGTGTAATTTTATATCTCTTTGTGGGGGCAGATGCACCCACAATCCTAAATTGTGCCCCCACAATGATAAAAATGCACCCACAAGTCTTTTACAAGCGTCCTTTCGAGAGCACGGCGCCCATGCGCGTTCTCCTGACCGACTCACGTTCCTGGATAATATAGTGTTTTGATCACTCGGCGCCCTTCTGGGAGAATGGCGCCCTTTTGACAGCACCGCGCCGTTCTCATGGTCTAGCGGGGCCCTCCTGACCGTCTCCGATCTCGCGCCCTTAGGTCTCTATCCACCGTGCATCCCTCGGCTGTTCGGTGCCCTTCTTGTTCTGGCCTCTCAGCGCCCCTGGACCGGCTGGACTGGACCACATCGTGTTTTCAATCAGGCGCCCATTTTATGGTCTCACGGCGCCCTCGTAACCGCCTGGCGCCCCTACGTCCCCACCAACTTAGGATTACTGACTGTCCGACGCCCTTCTGGCGTCTCTAGCGCCCCTGAACCACATAGCGTTTTTAATCACTCGGCGCCCTTCTATAGGAGAATGGCACCCTTACCATGGTCTCACGGCGCCCTCGTAACCGTCTGGCGCCCAAAAATTTGGCGCCCCTCCTACTGGGCGGCGTCCCTCTACATTTTTTTTACGCCCTTCCGGTCACTTTACATACAGTTCTTAGCAGTGTATTTGCTTAGTCAGACATATCAATTGAAGCGTCCTTCGGCTAGTAAAGTTTCAAATTCGTTGTTAATTTAGGCTCCTACATAAAGAATATCCATTGCGCCCCCAAACGGCCTGGCGCCCCTACAGCTGGGCACCCACAATCATTTTAGGAAAATTACACCCCTGCATATAGTTATAGGTTATAGCCAAGACTGGGTAAAACTAAACCGTCTTTGGTTTCAGACTTCTCGTCGAGAACTCTGGACCGACCTTCATAGTGGAATGCAGGCGCGGATACAAGGGGGGGGCCATGGGGGCCATGGCCCCCCCTTGGCCGATTTTTTTCAAAAATAAAATAAAAAGTTAAAAAGTTAAAAAGCCGAAAAGGGGGCCTCCTGAAAATAAATTGGCCGAAATCCGATGAGTTTTTTTTTAACCTACCCACTTAGTTATTTCTTAGAAGACTAGCTGAGAAGACTTCTTTGTTAGAAGATTGGTAAAGCTTTTCACAACTTGGAGGTCTCTTATACTCACAGAGATGACCACTTTTACAGGGCCTCCTAACCTGCACAGAGGGCCTCCAAGCCTGCACAGATGTTGAGATGTTGCCTGAACAGCTAGATAAGCTCAATAGACGCAGTTTTTTTTTGGGGGGGGGCCCAACAAGTGGGAAGATGGGGCCTCCAACAGGTGGGATTATGGGGGGGGGGCCTCCTGGTTTCTAATGGCCCCTCCCTTGGAGATTTTCTGGATCCGCCCCTGGTGGAATGGGACCTCGTGGTGCCGAGACGAAACCTTGCACCGTCGCAAGTGGCACTGGCAAGCACGTTTCAACCTATGATCTAGAAGATATGAACTTTACTAAATCATGAAGATACTAACGTATGGATGCATAGCATATTGTATGGTAAGTACAAATGTCTGTCTAATATTAATGGGGGGAAACCCACAGCGCTGTGAAAATAATTCCCATACGTATACCTATGAAGCGCTAAGCGAAAAAATGCGAATCGCTGGCACATGTTTCCCATTTCGGAATGACATTTGACCCGACATTTTGATTAGTGAATTGTGTTGAGCAATTCGATACCAGGAGACACTTTTTTTAGAAACCAGCTTCCCGATCTTTCAAAGTTGTGCCGGCATTTTTGCGGGTCACGCTGAGGATATGAAGTCAATGCTCGGAGTCGTTTCCAATCAGTGGAGGATCCAGGATTTCGTCAAGGGGGGGGGGCTTACGGTATTATGGTGCCCCTGGCATTTGGTGTCCCCCCCCCCTAAAAAATCCACGGATTTCGGCCACTTTCTTTTCGGGATGGTGCCCCCTCAGACCCGGGGAGAGTGCTCCTTCAGACCTTGGATTTCGGAATGGTGCCCCTGGAAACTTGGAATGGTGCCCCCGGAGACCTCGGAATGGTGCTCCCGGAGACAGACTTTGGGATGGT